GAGGGGTGGGGGGGGGCAGGGTTCAGGCGGTAATGGGAGCGACGGGGAGCAGCAGATGAAGCTTCCCTCAATAGCCTGCCTCTCACCTGCAGTGCGGCCCGGTTCCGAACAGTGGTCCTCGGCCCAGGGGTTGGGGACCCCTGCACTAGACTACCGGGGGAACTCCCAGTAATGGCTCTTGATGGGTGATGAGACTCAGGTTTGGAATAGAGGTGATAATCGAAGATTTTGGTTGAACCAGAGAGCCAAGGGGGAGAGTAAAGATCAGAAGACTTAGAGTTTGTCCTTCAGGAGTGCCAGCATGTAGTGGCCAAGTAGAAGAGGGTGCCCAGGGCACGGGATGGCGTGGCCGGAGAGGAAGGAGAAACACTGAGAAATGCCAGCCCGCCTGTGGTTTGGACTGTCGTACTGTCTCCCAGCTTTGGCATGCCATCTTTCTTTCTTTTCCAGGGGATGGAGTCGACTTTCTCTCCTGGTTTTTGAATGCTCTACACTCAGCTCTGGGGGGCACAAAGAAGAAAAAGAAGAGTAAGTCATGTTATTTTGTGAAAGGGAGCACTTTTTTGTTTTGTTGCTTCTTTTAAAAAACGCTTTGCAGCTTCCCATCCTTTTCTTCTTACCTGTTTATCTTTTTGTGTTAGGGTAGTGTCTCTGTATATATGGGCTAAATCTTGTTCCTGAATGGTTTCCTCTCCATTTTTCTTTATTAGAATATGGTTATATCTAATGGCATTTTTAATAAGTGGAAATGGGTATATAATTGTGCTCTAGAAGTCCTGACCCAGTTTCAAGCTGGGGGGCTGAGCAGCATGCTGTAGACATGCTAGTGGTGCCAGAGTGAGGGCTTGGTGGGCGGATTGCCTGGCTTGTAATTTGGTGGAACAAACTAAAAGCTCGTGCCTCGCCCTGAGCATGTACTTGGGGGAGATGAGGCTGGCGCTCTGTTCATTCTCAGACCTTGAGTCCCTGTATTTCTTAGCATCCAGGTTGGCTTAGCAGTAGCTAGACATTTTTCATGAATGCCAAAAATAACTCTTAGCTTAGAGACCGCTGAACCAGGTGAATAATTTTGGAGACCTAATGCAGTTTTCTTCTTTCTATGTTCTGATCGTGTTGGTTTCTTCATGTGGGATTGTGGCCTCGTTTTTTTTCTGTCACATAGCCCTGCCACCTCTTCAGGTATCTTCAGCCTGTGTGCCCCATCTCTCTTGGGAAGAAGATAGACATAAAATAATTATTTACACAAATACTTATAAAGGTATAATTTAGTGATATATGTTACAAAGGTTCTTCTGTGCTTAGTGAGAGCTTTGGGTCTTATGCTGGAAGATGCTGGTTTATTTCAGAAATTTAGGAGTTAGGACTGTATTTTGGAAATGCTTTCCAAACTGACAGAATTTGCATTTTGATTTCTGTTTGTACAGCTATTGTGACTGATGTTTTCCAGGGGTCCATGAGGATCTTCACTAAAAAGCTTCCTCATCCTGATTTGGTGAGTGGCTTGAACCGAGTTTTGGACGGATTTATATCACCTGAGGGGATTTAGGATTGAAGATGCTTAGTTTGGCGGTATGCGGGCCTCTCCCCGCTGTGGCCTCTCCTGCCACGGAGCACAGGCTCCGGACACTCTGGCCCAGCGGCCACGGCTCACAGGCCCAGCCACTCCGCGGCACGTGGGATCCTCCCGGACCGGGGCACAAACCCACGTCCCCTGCATCGGCAGGCGGACTCCCAACCACTGCGCCACCAGGGAAGCCCCGGTACAGCCTTTTGCTCCAGGAAGAGGTTCTACAGTACACCTGCCAAGTGGCACTTCCCCTAGGTTCCTGTTGCACCAGTGTGCTTAAGTTTGGGAGGTAGTGGTTGGGTATAACAGTTGACCTTTGAACAACTTACAGGTTTGAACTGCACTGGTTCACTTATACGTGGATTTTTTCTAATACATAAAACTACTACGTTTACATTTAGCAGTTGGTTGAATCCGAGGATGCAGAATCTGGATATGGAGGGCCAACTATAGGACTTGAGCATCTGTGGATTTTGGTATCCAAGGCAGCTCTTGGAACCAACCATAGATACCGAGGGATGACTGATTTCAGTGTTCTGGCCACTGGGTGGTGCTGGCGTGTTTTTTCCAGAAAGCTCAGATAAGCTTTCTAGATCATTTAAAAACTTGTAAAAGAGTCTGGTATTTAAATAAAATCTCTCTGAAGATGGAAGCCTGGTTTTTGCATTAATCTAAACAGGTACAACTGCACGTGAAACTGCCCAGTCTCTTGGGCAGCCCTCTTGGTTCACTTCAATATTAAATGAAGTAAATGTAACAGAAACATCGTTTCTTTCCATCTGTGGTGTTCTCCACTCTGCTCACACTCCTTCCCTCCTTTTGCTTCTCCCTCACTGCTAGCCAGCAGAAGAAAAAGAGCAGCTGCTCCATAATGATGAGTACCAAGAGACGATGGTGGAGTCCACGTTTATGTACCTGACGCTGGACCTTCCTACTGCCCCCCTCTACAAGGACGAGAAGGAGCAGCTCATTATCCCCCAGGTGCCGCTCTTCAACATCTTGGCCAAGTTCAACGGCATCACTGAGAAGGTAGCCCATTAGCACACCTGCTCTACTGATACCCCGTTCTCTCTCTTGACATTTTGCTTTTTATACTTGGAAATTGCCACATGTATGTAATGTGTTTATTTTAAAGTATATTGTGTTTATTGAGCCTCCCAGACTTCCTGATGTTTCACCCCCAACTCTTAACTTGAGTTACAGTGCCTCTGGGTAGTATGGAGAAAGGAAGTGGGTATTTAGGAAGGTAGGAAATCACAAAAGTACGAAAAACTCCCGTCTTTTAAAAAACATGACATCAGTATTAAAGTGGAAAAAAAAAACACAACTAAAATATAAATACAATGAAAAAATTTATTCTTGTTCTACCATTGCTCTGCATCAAGTTAAAGGTTTCTTTTTATCTGCTGAGTTAACCGTTTCTTGGTTTAATTCCCTTCTTCATCCTAGACAGATTTAATCCTTTTTGATTCTTTTAAACTTTTTAACGTTGGTTCTGTTTTTTTTTAACTTGATGCCTCATTGCAGACAGTTTCTGCTCTCTGTTTTAGCTAAGGTTCATTGGTTTTCAGATAGTAAATGCCCATTTCTCCCCACCACCCCCATCCCCTTCTCTCTCTCTCTCACACACGCACACGCACACGCATAGAGATAGGTAACGTAAAATATCTAGCCTGTTTCTTAGGCTTATTTCATTTTGGGGAGGCAAAAGACCTTGGGGCTCATCTAATTCAGTTTATTTTATTTGGTTTTAGTTTATATTGGTTTTAAATGACAGAGCTGGGGATTTTTTCATCTGACTTTTTCAGCTATGCCACATGGTCCCTATTATTACTGTTTGTTCACATTTAAGTAATATTAAGATTCCCGTGGACCCTCAGTATTGATTTAAATTTATTATTATAATATTACTTAAATTAGTATAAACATCAATGTTGGTATAAGCTTTTTATACCTACAGCTTTTAAGCACGTATTAAATTATAACAGACTTATACAAACAAAACTTTGAAACCAATAAAATTGGTTAATAGTGCTCTTGTAACGTGAGTTTAGCTAAAACCTTGCTGTGTGAATGTGGTACTGATGTCCAGGGTGAAATCCTTCCCCCCAGTATTTTCTCGTAAATTCCAGAGAAACCTTTTCAAGTTAGGCTATGACATCATTTAGGTGTTAAATCTGTCTATCCTTCACTACTCTGAGATAATTAAAAATAGGGCTTCTTGATGTCAACTTGTTCATAGACACAGATGTGGGCAGTGAAATCTCTTGGCATTTACTTGATTAAAAATTTTTCTTTGCTTTTAGCACAGTATTTTATTTCAGTCACGCAGAGATGAGTTACTTCATATCACCAAAAAGGCATTTTTTTCCGATAGTGCTTATACCCTTAGATGATCAGAAATTTACTTAAAAGAAAGTGTGGCTGTGGTATGTGTGCTAGAGCTGGAAAGTTTTTATTTCCCCAGCGCTGTCAGGTTACTCATCATGTGGCAAGGGAACTTAGTTTTTTAAAAAGTAGCAGTTCTATGGAGATACAATTCACAGCACCATATAATTAAGCTATTTGAAGTTTACAGTTCAGTGGTTTTTTCCTACATCCACATATCTTTGCAACCACCACCAGAGTCAGCTTTAGAACATTTTCATCATCGATGTTTTTTATCGCCCTTTAGTTATCATTCCAACCCTCTTGTCTCCACCAGCCCTAGACAACTACTGATCTACTTTCTGCCTCTGTAGATTTGCCTCTTCTGGACATTTCATATAATATGTGGTCTTTTGGGATTTGCTTCTTTCACTTAGTATGTAGCGTTTTCAGGGCTCATTCATGTTGTAGCATCTGTCAGTACTTCATTCCTTTTTGCAGCCAAACAATATCCCATTGTATGAATACACCACATTTTGTTTATTCATTCATCAGCTGATGGACGGACATTTGGAGTTGTTTTCACCTTTCTGCTGTTATGAATAATGCTACTGTAAATACCAGTCTACAGGTTTTTGTGTGGACATGTTTTCATTTCTCTTGGGTGGGTATTGGGGAGTGGAATTGCTGAGTCATATGGTAACTCTTATGGTTAGCCATTTGAAGGACTGCCACACTGTCTTCCAAAGTGGCTGCACTATATGTTCCTACCACCAGTGTATGAGTGTTCCAGTTTCTCTACATCTTTACCAATGTTTGTTATTGTTCATCTTCTAGATTATAGGCATTCTAGTAGGTGTGAAGTGGTATCTCATTATGGTTTTGATTTGTATTTCCCTGATGACTAATGATGTTAACCATTTTTTCATGTGCTCATTGGACATTTGCATATCATCTTTGGAGAAATGTTTATTTAGATCCTTTGTGCATTTTAAAAATTAGGTTATTTATCTATTTATTATTATTGAGTTGTAAGAATTCTGTATATAATCTAGATACCAGTCCCTTATCAAATGTATGATTTGCAAATATTTTCTCCCATTCTGTGGTTTGCGTTTTCACCCTCTTGATAGTATCATTTGAGGCATAAAAGTTTTAATTTTGTTGAAATACTGTCTAGTTTTTCTTTTATAGTGTGTGCTTTTGTTGTCATATGTAAGAATCCATTGTTAAATCCCAGGTCATGAAGATTTACTCTTGTGTTTTCATCTAAGACTTTTGTAGTTTTAGCTCTCAACATTTCAGGGCTTTAATTCATTTTAAGTAAAGTTTAGTATATGGTATAAAGTACAAGGTCCAACTTTATTCTTTTGCGTATGACTGACTGTCTAGTTGTCCTAGTACTATTTGTTGAAAAGACTATTCTTTTCGCATTGAATGGTCTTGGCATCCTTGTTGAAAAATCATTTGACCATAGACACATGGGTTTATTTCCGGACTCTCAATTTTATTCCGTTGACGTATATGTCAAGACCACAGTCTTGGTTATTACTGCTTTGTAGTTAGTTTTGAAATCAGAAACTGTGAATCCTCTGACTTTGTTCTTTTTCAAGATAGTTCTGGCTGTTTTGGGTTCCTTGCAATTCCTTGCACATTCAGATTTGAGGATCAGCTTGTGGATTTCTACAAAGAAGCTAGCTGGCATTCTGACAGGGATTGTGTTGAATCTGTAGATTAGTTTGGCAATTATTGCCATCTTAATAATAGAAGTCTTCTAATTCATAGACATGGGATGTTTTTCTATTTATTTATCTTCTTTAATTTCTTTCAACAACGTTTTATAGTTTTCAGAGTATGTTTTGAACTTCTTTTAAGTTTATTCCTAAATATTTTATTCTTTTTGATGCCATTATAAATGGAGTTGTTTTCTTAAGTTCAGTTTTGGATTGTTAATTGCATGTGTGTAGAAATACAGTTGAATTTTGTATATTGATTTTGTAGGCTGCAACCTTGCCAGACTTTTAAAGTGGATTTCTTAGGATTTTCCACATACAAGATCATGTCATCTGCAAACAGAGATAGTTTTATTTCTTCCTTTCCAATCTGGATGCTTCTTATTTACTTGTTTACGTTTTATTGCCTAATTGCTGTGGCTGGAACCTCTAGTACAGTGTTGAATAGAAGTGGTAAATGCAGACCTCCTTATGTTGTACCTGATCTTAAGGGAGCGCATCCAGGCTTTCGCCAGTAAGTATGATGTTAGCTGTGGATTTTTCATAGATACCCTTTATCAGGTTGAGGAAGTTCTTTCTATCTGTAGTTTATTGAGTGTTTTTCTCATGATAAGGTGTTGGATTTTGTCAAATGCTTTTTTGTGTCTAATGAGATGATTGTATGGTTTTCGGTTATTCCTATTTATTGCCTTATTATTTTATTAATATGAAATGGTACATTACATTAATTGATTTTTGGATATTAAGCTACCTTTGTATTCCTGGATAAATCATACTTGGTCATGTATAATTTTGGTGTATAATTCTTTGTTGTTGTTTATGTTGGAATTGGTTTGCTAGTATTTTGTTGAGGATTTTGGTGTCCATATTCATAGAAATATTGATCTGTGGTTGTCTTTTCTTGTGATGTGACGCTCCAGAGAGTGATGGTCTCATTGGTATTTCCTCTCTGATTATGATTAGTCTTTCATTCCTGTCTCTTAGTTTTTACTGTACTACATTGTGTTTGTGTTAAGGAAAAGTAAATATATGTTCACTAGCTTTTAAGCCTCTTGGGCTGAGGAGAATGTCCTGGGCCCCCACCACTCCATCCCCTCAAACGTGCTGAGTGAGGCCTCAGTGAGTGTTGCCCAACAGATTGCACTTGACCCACCAGTCTCGGGGCCTTTGAGGAGGAAGGAACGTGGGATGTCCGTTGACAGCTCTGCTGGAAAACCCTCAGTGATGAGGGGCTCCTCGCTGCCTCCTAAGTGCCTGTTCCACAGTGCATGCGTCTAGTGGTCAGGAAGCTCTTCTTTATTTTGAATTAAATGAGACTCTCATGTTAAAAGCTCTCATGAGCTTTTAACAAATCCTCTTTTTCACTTGACATTTTTGTTTTCCTTATAGAAAGGAATATCCATACTGCGGTTGGAGTTCAACAGTATGATTGTGTGCTGGCTGAAATGCAGCCCACAGTTGAGGTATTTTAGCCGTAGCTAAACGGCTATTCCTCAGCCTTGTAGGTGGTTTCTGGGATCAGGTGTCTTCTGAATTCTACATGTAAGGCAAAATTATATTAAAAAACCCCAAACAAGGGCTTCCCTGGTGGCGCAGTGGTTGAGAGTCTGCCTGCTAGTGCAGGGGACGCGGGTTCGTGCCCTGGTCTGGGAAGATCCCACATGCCACAGAGCAGCTGCGCCCGTGAGCCATGGCCGCTGAGCCTGCGTGTCCGGAGCCTGTGCTCCGCAACGGGAGAGGCCACAACAGTGAGAGGTCCGTGTATCGCAAAAAAACAAAAACAAAAACAAAAAAACCCAAACAAGCCAGAACAAAACTCATGTCCCTGCTCTAATTTGATAATTTTTTTTTCTCTCTCTAGGAATATAAGACTTACAAGGAGAACTTTCTGAAGCGCTTCCAGCTCACCAAGCTGCCTCCATATTTAATCTTTTGTATTAAGAGATTTACTAAGAACAATTTCTTTGTGGAGAAGAATCCGACTATTGTCAACTTCCCTATTACGTGAGTGTTCCCCTCCCTTCACTTCCTCTTAGGGGGCATGAGCTTGAATTTCTTTTTATATCTTTGTGCCACTCTTAGTTTTGGACTGTCTTAGTTGGAGATTGCAAGGCACCTACCTACACTACATAAGTTAAGGGTTTTTATTGGAAGGATAGAGATATTTTAGGGGCCTCAAAGATGGATATTTCCCTGCAGGCAGTTCCTCTTTTTTCTTCTCTCCTGTTGCTTGCTGGGAATTGTAGTCTTTCAGTAAAGGGAAAAACAGTTGGTAAAAGTAGGGTAGGACAGGTAGGATTCTCCTGGCTTTGAAGATAATCCTGAGCAGTTAGTCTGTCCATCTGTTTTCTGGTCATTGCATCTTGTATGCTATAGTTAAGGATGGACAGTGGGGATGACTCTAGATTTGTCTTGCTTTCTTGGGGCCCTCCTACCTTATTTCTTCCCTAGAGGATAAAGTCTGAAATGTGTTCAGTTTCTCCCTATTGATGAGGAAGTTATACATTTTGATGTATAGTCTTATTTTTAATTGGCCATGCAGTTGTCTTTTTGCAAACATTTATGAGTGTTCTAATGGGACATTTGGAGGAGTCGCAGAAGGCTCCTGCAAGACCCTTTTGGAGGTAGACAGTTGGTTTCCAGTTCTCAAGAGACATGGTCTTTCCCACTCTGAAGATGATCTCTCTGAGAACACGGGGAAGCCTGGTGGCAGGGCTGGCAGGAAGAAATGTGGGTCTTTGTGTGGGCATTTAGATAAGGTAAGAGTGGAGCCCTAAGGTGGTTTCTTACTGAGAACGATTTGGATGGATGGATGATAGGATTACCATGCTGTAGTAGCTCAGTAGTGTGGTGTTTTTAAACCTTAGAAAGTAGTTGGGAGCTCTGAGGGGCAAATGTTCATCTTCTCTTGTCTTTCTACCTCCATTGCCTCCATTTTCCAGATGCCCAGACTGCTCCAGGACTGCCAGTGTTCTCCTTTGAAAATAGTACCGGTTATTTTTTTTTTAATAAATTTATTTATTTTATTTATTTATTTTTGGCTGTGTTGGGTCTTGGTTGCTGCGCGCAGGCTTTCTCCAGTTGCAGTGAGCGGGGGCTACTCTTCTTTGTGGTCGCGGGCTTCTCATTGCGGTGGCTTCTCTTGTTGTGGAGCATGGGCTCTAGGTGTGCAGGCTTCAGTAGTTGTGGTGCTTGGGCTTAGTTGCTCCGCGGCATGTGGAATCTTCCCGGACCAGGGCACGAACCCGTGTCCCCTGAAGCGGCAGGCGGACTCTCAACCACTGCGCCACCAGGGAAGCCCCAGGTGTAACATTTTATTCTTTCTGGTTCCATCATCACCAGGACTCTGAGAACAGTGGGGGTGGAGGAGAGAAAACCTTTGTAGGTAGGATTACAGGAGAACTTCTTTTTCTCTTTTCACACACTTTTCATCCTGTTCTTCTCTAGTATTGTGTTTGTGTACAAGTAGAATGAAATCGGGGGACATGAAGGTCAGCTCTCTGCCAACTTGCATAGGACCACAGAGGGGCTTTCCTTGAAAGTCTGTGTATCAGGGTTTTAGTTCAGAACTGGGCTTCTGTGAATTGCCACAGTCACCAGTTTGTTCCTGGAAGGAAGGAGCGCTCTTGACTCCAGGGCAGCTCCAGAGGAAGGACTACGTGTTGGTGGTAGTTCCTGCTCAGTCACCACAGAAATTTCCTTACTCCGGCAGTTTCTTTTATATTGGACCTGTAGTATGTTTATTTTGCCACCAGTTGCATTTGGATTTTTGGTAGCTGACTTCAGTAGTTTGTCTTTCAGAAAGCTTTGGAGAAGTTGAGAAAAAGGTTACTTCTCAACCAGTCAGCCTTTTAGAGAACATCAAACTGTGTGATTGATTCTGGAAACCTGTACTTTAATTACTTTGTGCACTGTCATTACTTTTAGACTAATATGGTTCTAGGTTAGCCAAGGTCCCCGCTTCTTTTTTTTTTTTTTTTTTTGGTATGCGGGCCTCTCACTGTTGTGGCCTCCTCCGTTGTGGAGCACAGGCTCTGGACGTGCAGGCTCAGCGGCCATGGCTCACGGGCCCAGCCGCTCCGCGGCATGTGGGATCTTCCCGGCCCGGGGCACGAACCCGCGTCCCCTGCATCGGCAGGCGGGCTCTCAACCACTGCACCACCAGGGAAGCCCTTCCCCACTTCTTGAAGAGGACCCTTATCAGACCTAATTCTTCTCCTGTGTTTTATTCATAACACATCTTCTTTTTACCAGAGATTGATTCAGACTTGCAGGGATTAGGGACCCTCTGCTCATTTGGAGGTAGGGTTTCTGGAGCACAGGTTTCAAGTTTCACTTCCAGCTACTTAGGGGGTCTCAAAATTGGACTGTTCTGATTGGCAGATGAGTATGGTTTGCTCCGTTGACTGTTTTCTAAAACAAAGTGATTTAACATGTATTTATTCCCTTTTGTCACTTAAACAGTTTTGTTTCAGTCATGGAAACTTGAGTATAAATACTTCTGAAGATTTCTCTAGGACTCATTCAGAGAAGTCTGAACAGCTGTTGTTAAAGCTGAGAAAACCATACAAGAAGTCAGTTTTTGGCAGCCGGGAGGCATTTCTAGAGCTCACATGGGTTTCCTCAGACTCATATCTAAATTTTCTTTTACCAGTGACTGTTTAGGGAATTCCGTGGTGGTCCAGTGGTTAGGACTCAGCGCTCTCACTGCCGGGGCCCGGTTTTGACCCCTGGTGGGGGAGCCAGCATCCTGCAAGCTGCGTGGCCAAAACAAAACAAAACACCCAACAAAAAGCAACAACAACTCTTTGATCTATATGGGACACTGTCAGTCTGTAGAAATAAATAGCTATCATGAACACATAGAAAGTTACGTAATATAGTTAGAACAAAGTTGTTTATTAATACATGGTTTGCGTTGAAAACTTTTTGTATTTTTGGAGAGATAATATATTTATAGTCTAAAATTCAAAAGGAGATACATATCTGGAAGTGACCACTGGATGTGACTGCTATTAGCATTTATTGTAAATCCTTTCAGAGATGACATTACTGTGTTTTGTGTTTTGAGTGGTAGCACATCAGACAGTTCTACAGAGATTAGAAATAGGATATAATCTCTCTTATTCTACATTGTATCTAAATTTTTATAAGTATTTGTAGGCTACAGAAGGTTATATTTTTCCTGAAAATAGTGTAGTTAGCATTCTCTTAATATTCATGTTAACTGTCAATCTACGTCCCTATTTAGCTATTCGAGAGATCTTAGTAATTGTCATCGGCATCTTCACAGTAAGCATTTATTATAGCTCTTGGCTTCGTAATAACCAGTGTACATGTATATACTTCAACTGACAGAATTCAACAAATAAAACACAAAAGCAGGTTTTATTCTAAGTACATCAAGAATGCTTCTCTATATTTTAAAAAATGAATGTTCAGGTATTAAAAATAAATTTTATATTTCTAAGTCCCAGTGGAAGGAACCTAGTTAGTAGTCTCTTTTGGCAACCAGAGCTGAGAAATTTGGAAGCTGTGGGGCAGCCAGTGTGGGTTCCATAAAGGAAAGAAAGCTGGGTGGGAAAAGAGTGAAGCTGATGTCAAAGCAGAAAAGAGGGCAGGTACCTCTCGGGTCTTGCTGCCTCTCCAGTGCTTGGTTTCAGCTGCATTTCCTAGTCTGAAACCCTTGAATAAATACCCCTTTTGTGCTTAGGCTACCTAGGGTGGATTTTTGTTACTTGTAACCTTTTGCTTATTTAACTAAAAGAAAAACAAATAAAGAAGCAAGGTTCCAGAAGATCAAAGAAAAAAATAAATCGGATTGATATGCCTGGTTTGCCATATTGAAATTGTGACAGTGATTATATACAGTGACAACCCACATGATCAGACTTTCATAGCCTAAGGCCAGAGACCAGGTGTCCCCTTGACACTGCAGCTGCAGCTGATTCCCAGGTAGGGCAGAGGGTGGGGCGGTTACATGTGTTCTCATCTCAGAGGAGAAGGTGGCACTCATTCTCACAGAGGAGCCCTAGGTTATGTCACCTGCTTAAACTCAAACACAGCTCTGAGGTGGCAGAGCCCCGATTCCAGATCAGATCTGAATGACTCCAGGCCCTGCACTTTTGACTGCTAGGCATGCTTTTTTTTTAGATTTTTTAAAAAATTTATTATTTATTGATTGGTTTATTTATTTATTTTGGCTGCACCGGGTCTTAATTGCGGCACATGGGATCTTTGTTGCAGCACGCGGACTCTTAGTTGTAGCATGCATGCAGGATCAAGCTCCCCAACCAGGGATCGAACCTGGGCCCCCTGCATTGGGAGTGTGGAGTCGTACCCATTGGACCACCAGAGAAGTCCCTAAGCATGCTTTTATTTTTTACTTTTTATTTATTTTTTTAACATCTTTATCGGAGTATAATTGCTTTACAGTGGTGTGTTAGTTCCTGCCTTACAACAAAGTGAATCAGCTATACGCATACATATATCCGCATATCTCCTCCCTCTTGCATCTCCCTCCCACCCTCCCTATCCCACCCTTCTAGGTGGTCACAAAGCACTGAGCTGATCTCCCTGTCCTAAGCATGCTTTTAAAGTGTGCTTTTCCCATAGAGCCAGTCTTTCCAGTTTGACTCATTTTTATGGCAGATTATATGAATTTCCACAAACCTGGGCTCCCATGGCTCTTCAAGCCCACCTAGATACAGGGTCCTGAAATAGGGTTCCAGAGCTTCATGGTCCCATTTGGGTAAGACAGGTAACCTCTACAGGGCTAACCTAGTAGGCTTTGTCTGATCTTCACTTTATTTTCATCGTCATCAGAAATGTGGATCTGAGAGAGTACTTGTCCGAGGAAGTACAGGCAGTGCACAAGAATACCACCTACGACCTCATCGCCAACATTGTGCACGACGGCAAGCCCTCTGAGGGCTCCTACCGGATTCATGTGCTTCATCATGTGAGTGGGGCTGACTTCTCATGGTGGCAGTGGCAGGAGCAGGTGGTTTTCCTTTGGCTTTTCAGAGGGCGCTCCTTTCAGTTTGCTCTTTCTTATCCTTGACTTTGGGATTCTGCAAGTAATAGAGCGGACAGTGGTCAGTTTAAGGCAACGGTTCTCAATTTTGGCTGCACGTGGGACTCCACTGTGGGCAGATTTTAGACTCCTGACACCTGGGCCACCCCAGGCCAGTTACGCGAGAACAACATAATTTGTGCCTGTTGGTTTTCAACTGGGCAGAGGCCAGAGATGCTGCTAAATAATCTTACAGTGCACAGGCTGCCTGCGCAGCAAAGAATTTTCTGGCCCAAAGTGTCAGAGTTAAGACTGCATTAGATTATCTGGTGGTGGGAACCAGGCATCATGATGTTTTAAAGTTCCCAGGAGATTTCCAGTGTGCAGCCAAGATTGACAAGCACTGTCCTAGACTAGAGCCTTACCACCTAAAGTGGAATCCTTGGACCAGCAGCACTGACATCATATAAGAACTCGTTGCAAATCGCAGAATCTCAGACCCCTCCCACACCTCCTGAATCACAGTCTACATGTTAACAAGACCCTCTGATTGGTATGAAATTAAAGTTTACAAAGAACCGGTGTGTAGGTTCCCTTTCAGCTAAAAAAATTTTGTGAATTTGCTGAAAATGGCTAAAACACGCTTAAGATATATTTGGTATAACACAGATTACTGGCACAGATTGTTCTAATTTGATTAGTCTTCTGGGGCCGTGGGTTTAATAATAACTAGATCTGTCCATCAAGCGCTTTGCTGTGTGCTAGACAGTATGCCACGTGCTCATGGATGTTCATCTCGTTTATATCCTTAAAACACACTTTCAAGATAGGTGTTAATACCGTCTTTTTACAAGTGAGGAACGTAGGCTCCGAGTTTGAATAATTTTTCTGAAGTCAGTAGAATTGGGATTTGAACCTAGATATGTGGTTTTACCGGGAATAGGGACTTGATTATGTCATCCTGAGCTTTTGTTGTGTTTCCTGTTCTGAACTACTGGAATATCCAGAATATCTGGAGTATATCTGTCTTTGGCATTTCTTAGAAGTTGGGATGGGTGAGGCTGGTGAGCTTCCAGAATTGCCTCTGCCATAATCCAGAAACCTCTTTCCCCCCTTGTTTATGGAAGCATGAAGTAAGGTAGATTTTGCTGTATTTGCAGCACTGTTTTTTTAGGCCAAAGGAAACAGGTTAGTATGGTGGACAGTGTCCACCAACGACACTTTTTCTTGACTAACTTGCTGTGTCCTCTGGGACGGGGGTGGGAATGTCCACTTTTGGTTAACACTGCACCTCCTAAGTCAGTGTGTCTATTCCGTCACTTCTGAGCAGCAGGGAGACATCTTAGGTGAGGAGTAGAGGGCTTCCTCTTCTTTCTCTTTATTGTCCTTAAAAGGCGTACAGTGTTTGAGACTCCATTGTTTCGAGGAGTATGGAAGCATGAAGTAAGGTAGATTTTGCTGTATTTGCAGCACTGTTTTTTTAGGCCAAAGGAAACAGGTTAGTATGGTGGACAGTGTCCACCAACGACACTTTTTCTTGACTAACTTGCTGTGTCCTCTGGGACGGGGGTGGGAATGTCCACTTTTGGTTAACACTGCACCTCCTAAGTCAGTGTGTCTATTCCGTCACTTCTGAGCAGCAGGGAGACATCTTAGGTGAGGAGTAGAGGGCTTCCTCTTCTTTCTCTTTATTGTCCTTAAAAGGCGTACAGTGTTTGAGACTCCATTGTACTTCGAGGAGTCCTCAGCAGGAATTGAGTTTGCCAAGATGAGCACCCTAAAAAGTCTTTAAATTGAATGATGCCCGGCAGAGGCCGTGCACCCTTTTACGTACAGCTCTTGCTGGGTGATGATCTAGTGACCATTCTGATTTTTCTAGCTTTCAGCTGTGATCCCTTCCCTCTTATACCCTTTCAGTTTCAGAGAGCAGACTAACCCAGCCCTTCGTACTCTCTGCAGGGGACAGGCAAATGGTATGAATTACAAGACCTCCAGGTGACTGACATCCTTCCCCAGATGATCACGCTGTCGGAGGCTTACATTCAGGTGGGTTGGCCGCAGACTCCACGAGCACGGAGGAGATGGAGTGTGGGTCCAGTGAGAGCAGTGATGTGGATGAAGGCACGGAATGGGATTGACTTAGGTTGGGTGCCTTTTGACATGCACCACGGAGTGTAGTGGGACCAGATTATATGGCCCTTGAAGCCCAGGAGTGACCTTCAGGGAAGAGAAGGGTGGAGAAGCATGGAAGAGTGATGAGTGAGCAAGGAGGTTCTGCTTACGGTGAGCCAGGTTAGTTTTGCAAGTGTGTGGTCTGGTTTCAAGGAGGAAGAGCCCAGAACCATCCGGGCCACCAGCTAGGGGTTGTCTCTGAAGCTTCCCCAGTACCCTGGGCAGTCAGCACTCTTCGTGACCCCACTGCACCGTCTCCTGTCTTCGTGGAGCACCAGCTGGACTAGTGTAACTGTCCTCTCCACTGGGTTGGGAGGTCATGGAGTAGAGTATCTCTGTCTTCTTTTTCTAACTGTCCTTGTACCTGCACAGAAGGAAGACTGAGGCTAAGAAGATGCTATAGCTTTGTAAAAAAGGAGGGAGACGCTGTTCGTTCCAGAGATAACTCTTTCCTTGGTGACTTTGTCTAAAGTTGCAGGTCTGATTATGAGTCACTTTTTAGAAAAGGAGTTTGGAATGGGAAGAGAAGGATGGGTAGAAAAGTGACAGTTGAATGAAGGAATTTTCTGAAAGATTATGAGTTAGTTTCAGGGGACTTAGCAAATACACAAGTGGGGCGATAGTTTGTCCATTGCCTAGCGCAGATTTAGGTACTTGATAAATATTTGTGGATTGAATGCCAGCTCCTAAATATCCATTGTATTCATTTCTTACAGATTTGGAAGAGGCGAGATAACGATGAAACCAACCAGCAGGGGGCTTGAAGGAGGCATCTAGAGCTTTGCTCCTAGGGGGCTTTGGCTGAAGATGGAAATACGAATACTGAGCACAGGCTGATGGCCCAGCCCCTGAGCCAGCCTGGGTTTTATGTGTCCTGGTTCACACCAGAGCATCCCCGGTCCTTCTGCCTAGGATGGCTCTGTGCTGTCACTCAGCTGGTCTTTGATCAATTGGTTGTAGATGGATGCTCCTTTCTCCTTCCTGTCTATCTCCCTTCTAGCAGGCCAGGACTCTTTTACAGATGTATGTAATTTATTTCTGAATAGCTGGGAGTAGCTGAAGGACAAGATAGTTTTCTTCTACGCATCAAAGCCTCAAGATTATAGGAATTAGAGCTTGAAACCAGTAACACCCTTCTTCCATCATAGGTAGATAGTTTTCCTGTAGTTCTCTTCATTTCTTTGTGTTTTGGGATGGATTAAATATTTTCCTGTTTTTAAACAAGCCTCTTGTTTCATATCCTTCCCTTACACTGCTGCCTAAGGGGAGGATTTAAAAAAAAAAAAATCCTCACAAACTGTCTACCCTATAGTCTGTTATCTGGTGGACATCATGCTTGTCTCTTCCTGTCAGCCTGTGGGTGGTGTGTCAGTTTAGGATGCATTTATCTCTAAGTAACAAAATATCTGACTGAAAGAGATAAATTATTATTGGGCTTAACTAGAAATCTGGAGGTGGGTGGTTTCAACCTGCGGTGCAGGGCTGTGTGAGGAAAGAGGGAGGGAAGGAGGTAGGAAGAGCATCTGACTGCAGTGCAATTCTGAGAACCTCTCAGCCAGGCCGGTGGGAAGCCTGGAGCACAGAAGAATCGAGCAGAAGTGGTTTTCGGCAAGCTCATTGATTAGGAGCTGCCTGGAGGAAGGGTGGCCTTGGCCTGGGCACTGTGGCAGACCTGAAGATGTGGGAGATCTGAAGATACAGCTGTTGGTGGCCGTCAGTCAGCTGAAGCAAGTTCTCTTAATGGGAGGTAGGAGCCATGCACCTCTGGCTGCCACTCTTTGCTTCTGGGACACAATATAGTCATCCCTCGGTATCCTCAGGGGATTGGTTCCAGGACCCCCGTGGACACCAAATTCTGAGGAGGCTTAAGTCCCTTATATAAAATGGCACAGTGTTTGCGTGTAACCTACGCACATCCTCGCGTATACTTTAAATCGTCTCTAGATTACTTACGATGCCTAATACAATGTAAATGCTATGTAAGTAGTCGCCAGGCATGTGGCAAATTCAAGTTTTGCTTTTTGGAATTTTCTGGAATTTTTTTTCCAGAATATTTTCAATCTGAGGTTGGTTGAATCTGTGGCTACAAACCCTGCAGATGTGGAGGGCCGACTGTACTGTCTTTATTTTCCTCTGCCTCTCTTGCAGCTTCAGCATTCCTTTGCGGGCTCATCTTCCTCTATCCAGCCGTTAAGAGTTGGGATCCCTCGAGACTCTGCCAGGCACTTTCTTCTCACTGTTTACTTTTTCCCTAGGCCATTTCAACTATGCCTGTGGCTTTCCTTACCAGTTTAAGGGAGATGACTCCAGTCTTAATCCCAGACTCCTCTAAATTCTTGAACTTTAGAGCCAGCTGCCCACTCGATATGTTTTAGTGTCTTAAAGTCAACTCAAGCTCAACATTGTTCAAAACTGAGCTTGTGAGTTTTCTCCTCAATCGTCACCCCTTTCTGGAAGTTTCTGTGTAGGTGAAGCGTCCCCTTATTCATCTAGTTATATAGGCTGGATAGTTTTCCAGGTGTCATCTTCCCCTCACCCCTACTTCCCTTGTCTAATCTAATACCAAGTCCTGTCTTTTACTTTGTGTCTTTTGAATCTCCCCACTTCCTTTTGTTCTCTGCCACTGTCTAGTCTACGCTAGTGCTAGCTTAATCCAGGTCGAATCAGGAGAGAGAAACCATACAAAAATGTGATTGGGGAAAGTTTAACTTCAGGAATTAATAGCTATAATGGGGCTGGAGTAATGAGGAAATGGCTAGTAATAAGAGAATGTAAGAATAGCAGATAGAAGGAACAGCCACTGCTCCTTGGGGTGACATAGAGTGTCCAAGGCTGAAGTCTAGACCTTGCTGAAAATCTGTCCCGCTGGAACCCGTCAGAAATCTGCTCTCTAGTGCACTAAGGAGGCTTCTCACTCTGCTACCAAACTGCCTGGGGAGGAGGGAGGTGCCTGGTGAAGCTGCTGCTGCTGCTGGAGGCTGCGCATTGCAGAATCTTTGGGCACGGCAAGAGCCTGATGCTGAGAAAGCTGCACACGTTGCCTTCAAGGGAGCCCACAGGAACCGGGAAGCAAAGCCCTTTCTCCCCGTGGTGTGTCTCCAGCACCCTCTTCTGCCAAGCCTCAGTGGCAGCTGGCAGGAAAAATCTAAAGGGCTCCAATCCATTCAGAGTACAGGCAGAAGGGGTGAATTTGGAGCTGAGGGCCACTAAATTGATAACCTGCCCAGTCCACCCCTTTGATGACTTAGCTGCCCTGTGTGCTCTTTTTTTTTTTTAAAGTCTTTTGAATTTGTTACAATATTGCTTTTGTTTTATGTTTTGGTTTTTTGGCCAAGAGGCATGTGGGATCTAAGCTCCACCGACCAGGGATGGATCCCTCACCCCCTGCATTGGAAGGTGAAGTCTTAACCGCTGGACCGCCAGGGAAATCCCGTGCTCTATGTGCTCTTTCACACACACAGACTCCCATCCAGCAGCCACCACAACGAAGAAGACGACTCCTTATGCCTAACAGAAACAGCTGCCCTTCCTATGAGAGAACAAGTTTTCAACCTTTCTCAAAATGAGATGCAGACCCAAGAGTCATGTATCCACTGACAGTTATATGTATTACTCCTCAAATCCAGTCATAGACACACTGAATATTATGTTACCTAAAAAGACTAGGTTGCAAGGTTAACTTCCAACAAGTTAACCTAAAAATGGGAAGAAGAAAAAATGGTTGAGCATAAACAAATTATCATGTACATGTCACAAGCAAACAGAAAATATGAGCGAAGCTGCTTAGAGTCCTCATTTCTGTAACTGGTCACCATACTGTGACTGATACCTGTGCTTGTTTCTTCCATTTCCCTACCCCTCCCTGTGTTCTCTGCCCTCGGCTCAAACCACAGCTGTTCAGGGTTCTTCACCTGGTACAGTGACCCAAATCTTCAGTCTCTAAGACCCTGGCTCCTTAATCATCCTGCCCCCACCCCACCCCCCCTTTTTTGGCTGCTGTGGTTTTTCATTAACCTTTGCTGTTGGACATACTTGCCTCCGTTGTGTAGAAGCAACCCAATTGGCCTTTGGTAAAATCAGGGTCAGTCACTCAGGCAACCGTAATAGATGACACTCCTCCGCCATACTGCCCTCCTCCACACCTGCTGGTTCACTAGCATAAGGAGCCCCAAACGTCCAGGTGGCCGCGTCTCATCTTACAATTTAGCGGAACCATTGTTGTGTCCTTTGGTGGAAGCATTCCTTCTTTGGGAACTAAAATCTCCAAACCAGCAGGGCTTAAAATTGCTGGGACGGGAAGCAGAAATTCTGCGAGAAATCTGTTAGTAATAGGGGAGTCACTCTGCCATCCACCTGTTTTCTAGACCCATATAGTTTGAAGAGAGCACCATACAGTGGTCTCTGATTCAAAGCATGTACTACATCCTGTAAGACAAGAGCACCAAATGGTACTGCAACTTTGTTTGTTTGTTTTAAGACATATGTGCTTATTTATTTATAATTGGCTGTGCTGCGCGGCTTGCGGGATCTTAGGTCCCTGACCAGGGATTGAACCCAGGCCCTCGGCAGTGAAAGCACCGAGTCCTAACCACTGGACTGCCAGGGACTTCCCTGTAACTGTGTTTTCAGTAAGCCATTCCACCTTTCAGTTAGGCTACCCACTTCCAGATGATGGTGTGTGTATGTGGTATGTCCAGTTAATCCTATGGGCATGAGCCCACTGCTGCACTTGCTTTACTGTGAAGAATTCCTTGACCAGACGCAATGCTGTGTGGAATGTCGTGATGATTGATAAGGCATTCCGAGAGTCCATGGGTGGTGGTGCTGGTAGAAACACTGTGGGCAGGGAAGGCAAATCCATATCCAGAACACGTTTCTAGTCCTCTGAGGTTGGATCTATGCTCCTTCCATAATAGAAGAAAGTAATCAGCCTGGCACTAGGTGGCTGGCCAATCCCCACAAGTAATAGTGTCCATACTGGGGACTCAATGTAAATCCCTGCATTGGCAAATTAGATAACTCAGCAGTACTACCCAGGTCAGGGGAAGTCTGTTGTTGAGCGCATACGAAACCTCCATCCCTGCCACCATGGCTCACGAGCTCATTGAGCAAGTGCTGGGGGAGGCCGGCGGAAGAGGCTGCTTACTACATCCACAGAGCATGTCATTTGCCCTGACTATTAAGGGTCTCTAATGCGGTGGATACCTTTTGGTGGGCATTCACAACTATTTTCATAGTATAGTCTTACTCAAGTTGTCCACCCATATACCTCTTCCCCAAACTTCTTTTCCACCAGTGTTACAATCCTGTTCCTTCTGAATCCCTAACCATCCAGTCAAATCATTGGCAACTGCCCCTGAATTAGTCTAGATCTGTAGTTCTGGCCATCTCACACTCGAAATGGTGAACAACCAAATATACTGCTTGAAGCTATGGCCACTAGAGGATTTTCCTTTACTTCTGTCTTTCAGTGTCTCCCTGAGTGGGGATGCAGTGCAATTGTCCACTTACTGGTTGTGCCAGCATATTATACAAATCCATCTATAAACTGGGCTTGAGTTTTGTCTTTTTTGGTCAGCTGGTCTGAAGGAACACCCCAGGAGGCAATGCAACAGGAATTGTGTCAAAGGGATCTGCTCATGGTAACTTGTGCCTTTTGGACCTGCCTGAGCTTGGCATTCCATTTAATGGCAGGTTGCAGCTGTACCTGCCCAGCATGGCAAGGTGTCAGACGACAACCAGTTCATGAGAGGAGGATCAGGCT